TTTTTTTTTTCTTTTTTTTTTTTTTTTTTCTTTTTTTTTTTTTTTTGTTAAGCCTGAAAGAGAAAGAAAACAATTTTACTTTTCAGTAATTTAGAAAACTTACTTATTTTGTGATTACTCTTATTTATCTTCTCCTACTGGATTTGAATATATTATTATATTTTTCAATATACATATTGAGTTCAAATTTACAATGGAAAAATTTCAATAATATTCTGCTTTTTTCATTATTTTTATTATGACAATTTAAAATTTATTTCAGCCTTGTGATGTTTCAGAACAAATTGATTTTGAATATTTCGAAATTTTGTGGAAAATGTTACTCTAGTTCATATTATTTTTTTATACTACCTTTTATACTTGATTTTAATACATGCTAAGTAATATTTAATTAATACTTACAGTTTTAATAGGTACTAGATGGTGTTAATTCTTAATTAAAATGTTTCTTATTTTTACATATCCATGGCATACATAGAAGACTGATGCACATGCGATAAATATTTTCACCTATCATTGCACTACGCATCTCTAAGACAAATTAAACGAAAAGCAAAATTACACCGCATATCTTGAAATTTGTGAAATTAGAAATTACAAAATTCCTTGAATTTTTTACTTATTTTTTCATAATAATTATCTGACTTCTGTCCTAATTCCAGCAATTTTCAATTCACGTTTATGTTCTAGTCTAATTAGAGACGTACCGCGCATGTTTAAAAATACAATTTAATATCTGTATTACGTATCTTAACTGCAAAATTAATTATCAGTTTATGAATTATTCAAATACTGAAGAGCAAAAAAAAAAATCGTTAATCAGACTACTTCAAATCGTAATTTTTTCTTTTTTTTTTAAAGCATTTCCTAGCAATAGGACTATGCTATGAACCAAGGTGTATATGTGTGTCGGTATAAACAATCACACAATCAAAATGTGTCTTGTAACATATTAGAATTCGTACGAGGATGTCAACAAGTTACTGTTGTACCACGTACCTGTGTGATGCATTATAAATAGATTTCTTGATTCCCAATTTTGAAGTTTAAAACGTGGTATGAAACGGGTGAAATTGTTGTTTCGAATTATTATTTCAAAATTACTATTTTAAATTATTTCGAATTAATCGAAAATTGTTATTTTCGATTATTTCGCATTGATCGAAACTTATTATTTCCCGAAAAATTGTTACTCCGGAATGGCGATATTGGAGAATGTCGGTTAACAACGTCTTTCTTAATTCCAGGCTTTTTTTTCAGTATTCCAATAAAGAACATTCAATATCGCGAAGCATTGAAAACGTATTTGGAGCAATATTAAAAGCGGGGCTCGAATGAAAGTTAAGATTAAGTCTGTATCTATCAGGTGGAGAGAAAGTCAGAAAGTGGTCCGAAAATTTAAGATTACAGTGATAGAGTTAAACGGAGGAAATAAACTTACGTTCTTTCTCCTGGATAAAACGTGTTGTGTACGTATCGTTATTAAAGAAAACCTTTCAGGCGTTCTCTTTGCAAAACAAATCGAAGATGTTCCTTCGATTTATGTGTATATATCGTGAAATAATGGATAATATTTCTTCAGATATATTGCCTCTTACCAAGTTTACCAAGTTTACCGAGCTTGGTGGAATTTATTTTTAAGAGAATTTAAGCGATGAACGCGAAATATATTTCGCGTATATTTTTAGAAATTGAAATCTCTTCCAGATTTATCATCTTACAATTCTTTTCATAATTTCTTCTTATTGAATTTTTTTTCTCTGTAACGTATTTCACTGTTACCATCTTCTCAGTCAATGTGAACCGTGTATCTCGATATCGGATGATAACTGATACTTCCTTCGATTTCATCGATAAAGTTGTTCAGGCTAAAAGATATTTGAAATTCTAACTATTTATATATGGCGATACGTTTCAACATAAATTAAAAATGGTAATAAACTATAGATGGGACTTTATGAAGTAAATCAAAATGATTTATGAAATCCTTATATAACATGTATTTATTGTGAAATAGGATGTGATCGAACGGGGAGTTCACTGAAACATTATAACTACAAACGACGGTTATAGACGTCGCAGAGTAGAGCATCGTGATTGAGAAATTGGTATTAAGAATAATAAATGATCAGAGAGGTACATCGAAGTACATTAAACATGGAAATGTCTTTGCATCCTATATAATGTTTAATTAAATTTGAGAGATCGGTTAAAACTTCGCTGTCATTGACATCGTGTTTTAATTATCACTGTATAAAGCTTGGAACAGTTAATATGGATGAAGGTAACTCCGTGTCTGTAATGCGTGGTATAATTTTGTGAATTTAAGTACCACATGTATATCGACGTTTTAATTATTGCTTCATCAATGGAAACATTGCTTTATTTCTAATTTTCTAATTCAATTATGTTGTATTCTCTTTGTAGTACAGATTTGGTTGGTACCAACTCGTTGCTGAATCGTTTCGAACATGACCATAGAAGATCGTTTCGTAGAAAGGAAATGGAATGGCGTAAACGAAGGACTTTGAATACAAGAGACACGATTATCGATTTTAATTTTATATTTTGTACAAGACTACGGCTAAATTAAATTCTCTTGAATTTCTTCAAAATTATATTGCTTTGTTAAAGTTCATTCTTAAAACTGTTAAGGAAGTTATTTATATCATCTTTTGATCTTTTCTTTAATATACCTGAATAGCTTCTTCACTTGCTTCTTCTGAGACATTAGATTAATAATACTACAGAATGTACAATATCTCAGTAAAAAGTTATTTACAAAGCTAAGTGGTTAGATAATTTAAGTCTGATATAAACGAATTGGTAGCTTTTAGGAGCTAAAATTTGTTTCAAGCTGAAGAAACGTATTGATGATTAAGTCGGATAATTGGACGTGAACTCTTATCGTTAAGTAAATAATACTTTGTACAAATATTTAAACAAAATATTTTTACTTGCTTTCTTCTGGTATTTTACCATGATCTCTATCTGTTGTATGTTTAAGAAAGCACTAAAATCTTTATGCGGAAGCTATAATAATTTCTGTCATTTAGTTCAGCAATCATATAGCAATTATATAGGAAATTATTTGATTTTTTCTCATTTAAATATATAAACATAATTATATTTAATCTCATTTTAAAATTGTTAAAAAGATATACTGCTTGCTAAAGTAGTAATAGAACAGTGAGGTACAGAACAAACATGGAAATATTTATATATTTTCATAAAATAGTATGTATATATTTTTATGATATTTAATGTAATGTTAATAATACAATAACAAATGTTACACGATTTTAAAATAGCCATAAGTGAGCTATAAAAGAAATATTTAATCCGACAAATTGTGGTGTCTTAGCCATCTCATGTATTCTTCTTTTCTCGTTTTATGTCAATTAGATTTGATGATTGAACTAAGTCCTAATATTAAACAGATGGGATATCAATTTCTGTTTGATCGTACGGGTAAATGTTTGTTGGGTACACGTAGTAACATGCAATCTAAAAGTAATTTTAGTTGATGCCGAAAACACGATCTCATTTAACGAAGTTTGTACATCACTGTTCATTACGAATACTAACGATGTTCGCAAAATTTTAACTTTCTCATACTCCGTCGTTTGTTTCGAATATATATTTCCGAAAAATATCTCATTTTTGCTATCGTGATATAAATTATAATACTCTCTGCCATCTAATATGCATTGCTAATGAAATTAGTATATCTTGACGTCATGTGATAAGGATAAGTTACATTCTTCGTTCATTCATTCTTTTTCTTTATCATTCTCCATTTTCATTTTGGCGGAAAATGAATGAGACTTATACCGCAAACATGATTTATTCCTATAATTATTCTTTCCAAATTATTGGCACTGAATTTCTATACACTTGTCATCTTAGTTGTTGTATTCTATGCTTACATATATTATGTAATATGACTATACTAGTAGAAGAAAAATAATTTATTTTTGATATTACATGGTATATCTTTTAAAAAACGTTTTACAAGTATAACAGTAAGTTCGATATTAGAATTGTGAAATTCTCACATTACATGCATTCCTTGTTTCTATTTTAAGGTACAGTGAAATTGCTGTTAAAAATAGATACTGTAAACCAATAATGTAGTATGATGCTAATGATAGTGTACTCTTGTATTGCTTAGTAGTTGATAAATAGTAGAGGATAGCAATCACTTAATTATTGATTTGTCTGGAGGTATTGATATTGTATCGATATTTGTAATTATATTATATTAATAGGTGATTTAGGATACTTCATAAATATTTAAAGACATTTGTTACATATGTATAGGTTACATACAAGAAAGTTATACCTTAACCTTAACAGACTTTAAATATGGAAAATGTTGAAAGTAATATACTGTTTAATTTGTGTGTAAAATGTTACTGAATATTATCTTTGACTAAACGATAACAGCATTAGGGCACCGTGTAAGGCTAACGATAAATTAGTATTTGAAACTCATTCAGAATTATTGTTTGACAAATTATACATTTCCACGGAAGAATGTTATTTCTCATGTACATAGAGTTTTAAACACTTAGCTTCTAGAATTATAACATAGCTGCACGCAATACTATTATACGCCTAGTATTATTTTAGTCTACGAAGCAATGCTTTGCACGCAGAGAGGAAATCTGATTAGAAACGAAGAACTTTATTTTCCAGGATCCTTTTATTAGTTTTCAGATTCTTATATTAGAAATAAAGATATCATTATCGACATATTACACGTTAATAATAATAATGGGTTAAACTAATCATAAACTATATGTGTATGTAGATGCGTCTATGTACGGACTAATTCGATATTATTTAGCAAATGCATCTTCTTAGATAGATTCTGGCACGATGAAAGTATTGAAGAAGATCGAAAGCAATCTGAACACTACTTGCGAGAAAATACGTTTTCAGAGGCATCTCCTGGCCTATTCGGGCACTTAACAGTTCAATACAGTATACCTATATATGCTACAGTAAAAATTACCAGAATGTGGAACGAAAGAGAATTGTACGCACCACAAAGACTTCAAAATATGGCGGTTTGAATGTCGTAACTTCGAATCAATTTACATTCTAATTTTTGTGATAATACAGCTTCTACAGGGGAGAAAAGAAGAGCAAATTTTTTCTATACATACATACACACACGCGCGCGC